GACCATATGTCTTTTCTCATCCCTTGTTGACTTTACTACATTTTATGTGCCAGAGAAATCTCACCTCAGGCTTCAGAGATCTCTAAGAGAGAGTACCAGACTTCCCTTTCTCTTTCCACTTCCCAACACATGTCCAAATCTTCCATCACCTAAATCTTCTGAAAATTCTTCTTATTATAGGTGGTAAAGCTCTTGACCTAGCTTCTGAGCTTTTCCCACTGGGCCATTTTACAACTAAGAATTCCTTTTTCTTTCAGCTGATTATTGAATCTCTTTCCTATTAGTCCTGGAAACCCCATTCCTTCAAGACTGTCTTCTCAGGTAACTTGTTCTTCATTCACTTTGGACACTCCCTGAACTTGTTAGCTGCTCTTTTTCTGCCCTCCAAAGTTTGTATATTCCTTTAATGAACTCACCAAAGATTTCCTTGAGTACGTACGCCAGACTGTCCTTTCACGTCTTCTAAAATTTATTATGTTGTCTCTGTCATCACTATTTTCCAGTTTATCAATTGTGTGTAACTACTCCAACATTTGGTAGCTTAAAACAGCAACCATTTTATTACAACTCATGAACTCTGTATAGCTACAATAATTCAAGAAATAATTACTAGACAATTCTTTTGCTCCACATAGTGACAAATAGGGTCACTCTATGGTATATATCTGGTGGGTGGGTACATTTGGAAGATCCAGAATGGCATCAGTTATGTGTCTGATCAATAATGACTAACACCTTGGGGTCAGTTGGCATTGTTGACCAAAGTGTCTATATAAGGCAAGTCCAGCATGACAGCCTCACATTAGTCAAACATTACATGGCAGCTCAAGATTCTGAGAGAGTATTCCAACAAATCCAAGGAGAAGCTACAAGGGTGCTTTTGACTTAGCCTTTGAATTCCCCGAACATCACTTCTGTATCCTGCATTGGTTAAGCAGATTTGCCAAGGTCACCTTAGAATCAAGTGGAAGGAAATTAGACACTGACTCTTAATGGAAGGAGTAGAAATGTGTGTGTGTGTGTGTGTGTGTATGTATACATATATATATGTTGTTGTTATGTGCTTTGAGTCAGACTTGACTCATAGCAACCCCTCCTTGGGTTTCCGAGGCAGTATCACTACGAAGTAGATTGCCCCATCTTCTTTCCGAGGAGTGGCTGGTGGGTTTGAACCGCCAGCCTTCTGGTTAGCAGTCAAGTGCCTTAGGCACTATGCCACCAGACCTCTTGGTGATATATATATATATATATCTATATATATATTTTTTTCAATATGAGAGAAATATTCTCTCTTCTAGATTATAAGATCCAAAAGGAATACAACATAATGCTATTTACAAATTCACCTTGAAAAATAATTTTTAAATTACAGCAATTATTTTCTGATTTTAGGAAACAATATTGAAAATAAAGAAATTGTTTTGCTTATGCATAAGTATAATGTGCATCAATAAAATATTCAAACTTTTAAAAACATGTTCCTACTTTATTACCTTCCCATAACATGCTCCACACTTTTTTTTAAAGCTGGAGAGAGTATCTTCTTCTTAGAAACAATGTATATTTCATTTTTATGTCCCTAGCAACTGTCTCAGAGCCTGGTACATGGTAACCTCTCAATAAATGTTTGTTGAATTAGTCTTGGATTTTGAGGTTGACATGGTCAATTCATGTATGTGCTGTGAAAGAAAATGAAATGTAGCAAGAAAATGCAGCCTGATCAAAAGTAAATCTAAATGGAGTTCTGGTATATCAATTAATACCATTGCAGGAAACACAGGTAATGGTGTCAGCAAATCTTGTCCATCTTACTTTACCCATCAGAAAGTTCACGAACTCATGCATTTAGCATAAATATATGCCTAAATTACTGCATAAATTGGTTAACAAATATTTTGGATTATTTCTGGCAAGCTTTGGTCATTTTGTAGAAAAGAGAAGTAAATGAAATTATTTTGTAATGTCTCTTTGTTATTAGGGAAAAACTAAGTAAATAAGAGGCAATAGTAAGAGTCAAAAGATATTTTTCAATTCTCAGCTTTTAATATAACAAAGTAAATTAAAATGTCTTTTTAATCCTGAATGTAATTTGCTTCTTTAAACTGTGATGTGTTTCTGTGTTAATTTCAAATATAAAGAACTGTTGGCTGATAACACTGTTATATAAGCAGAGCCACCACTGTTCATTGTGTGATGTGAAAATCAGAAACTCCACTTCAGCTCTCTTGCCAGGTGGCTGACAGAGACTTCCAGAATTTTGATTGGAAGGATGGAATATTTTGTAACTTGTTTTAATCCTGACACAATTTTTTTATATTTGTTTTGAAATACTTTTGAAATTAATTTCTTTTTTTCCTGCATGTTGTTGTTATGTGCCATCGAGTCGGCCCTGACTCATAGTGACCCCTCCTTGGGTTTACGAGGCAGTATCACTACAGAAGTAGATTGCCCCCTCTTCCTTCCGAGGAGTGGTTGGTGGGTTTAAACCACCAGTCTTCTGGTTAGCAGTCAAGTGCCCTAGGCACTAAGCTACCAGAGCTTCTGCATAGATTGGAAAAAAATCACCTCTAGTTTCCAAAATTCCTATCTACTTATTGTATGTGTTTGCCTGTGTTATTAGGATAATTCATTTAAAATTATTTTAATTAGTCATCAGAAATTTACATCTTATCATTTTATCACTAGTGACAATATTTGGTCAAAACCAATTTAGGGAATTGAAGTATAAAAGTATTCCTATATATTTCTTTGTCATATTATCCAAAGATACTTCTGTTCTTGTTTTGTAAATTTGAAAACTAAGGCATAAGACGCTAGAATAACTCACTAATGTCGTATTAGACATTAGTAGACATGGGAAGATTATTATTATATCATGATTCATTCTGTTTCTTTCTAGCTCTCTTGTCCACCTCTAAATATCTTTTCAACATTAATGAATACAACAGGCTCTTACTTAAATTTAATACATTAAGCTTACAGACCATAGTGTGCCCATTGAAACTCACTCTTTACTGGTAATTTGTTTTAATTGCTAGCTATTTTTATATTGCTTGTATTTATTTATGTTTCTTATTGCTAAATTTTTCTTTGCATACATGCACAAAAAAACTTCATATACATGTGGATTTTTTTTTCTAGTTTCACACCTTCTCCTACTACCATCAAGAACTTGGAAGTAACTTAGTTTTTGCTGATTCTTTCCTTCCATTTGGCAACCATTTTATTTCACTGTTTTTGAAGTGATGCAGTGGAAGAAAAATGGCTGCCTTTTGTTTATTTCCCTGTACCTTAGCATGATGACATCATCGATGATATTAACTAGAATGTACATACTTCAAGAATCCAGAGGTACACTCTCAGCCAGGAACACTTTGTTTTCTTTTTCTGTTAATGCCCCAAGGTTTTGTAGCATTACTGTAGTTCTTGTGTGAGGGGGAAAAATGAACATGAGTCTTTTGGAACAAGTGCACTGAAATGGTGGGATTAAAGATATTTCTAAATATTTCTTTCAATATTAAGAAAAGTCCACCAAAAGGCATTTATTTAAATCATGAAACATAATAAGTTCATGCTACCCCAACTAATAGGAGTTCACTAATAATATAAAGAAAAATGTTAAATCATATTTAAGAACTAGGCTTTTTAATCACACTTGCCTATTCTGACTTAAAATTATTTTTAAAATTTCAATTGACATTTAAAAAATTTTTCAGTTACAATTTTTTTCCAAAAAAAAAAGGATTAATAATGGAGGATTTAAAGTCATATATATTCACTATTTTTTAAGTTAATTATTATATTATTTACAAACATTATTAAAATGTATAGAACTGTATATCTAGCTATACAGAAAACTTATTTTCTAATCTTCAATTATGATGCTTCTGACTTTTCTGTACCATTGTTAGGAAGTAAACCATCCGTGCTCTTTGTTGCACTTTGCATGCATTTGTCTTAAAAAATTTTCACTGAGACTTACAAGCAACAAGCTTTCAATTACTAATTCAATTTAGACAGATCATTAAAGAGATAAGAAATTGATTTTTTTTCATCAGATTTTAAAGACTGAAATCCTTTTGTAATTTGGGCAATCTATAATCTGTTTTAAAAATTTGACAAATAATTTTAAGTAGTTACTTTTTAATATTTTGGAAAGATTATATATATTTAATTCAGCACCTATGCAGTAGAAAATTCCTTTAAATTTTGAATGATCATCTCTGAAACTACTTGTTAATGCTGAAATCAGATAAGGTAAACCATATGCTTTTTTGAGGTAAGCTGTCTAAAATAAGTTACTGCAATTTTAAGAGTTAATAGGAACCATATGTCCCTTAGATCTTTAAATTGAAATCTTTATTGTTCTTTTAAGTCAGCTTTTCTTCTAGGAATATGTCATCTTTTGTGAAGAGAAATTAATCATTGACTTCATTTATATACATACATCAATAAGGGAAACTTGCCTTTTCATCTCTTTATTAAAAGTAATTAGAATATCTTCATTTTTATTCACATATAATATCTATTAGTGATTGAGATTTTAATTGAGGGCATCTTGTGGGAAACAGCCACTTAGCCTCTTAGAAAATAACCTCAAGGAAAAAGAAACACAAGCAATCTAAAGGTTAAAACATATTGTCAAGTCATTCAGCAAGGCTCTTTAATGACATTTACACAAAAGTTCTTTTAGTAAGCATAAGATAGAAAAACAGCTTTTTGTTAGTTTCCCTTTCTTAAATTATTATTCATCCTATTATCAAAATAAAATCTAGTTCTTTTGAATGCTTGCTCAAACGTTTTCTGTAATAATAATTTTTAAAATCTTGTGAAGGGATTTCCATAAGTTGTGCTGCATTAATGACTTAGAGGAGCTTCATAATCTGTTATTCTTTCCTCCTAGTAGACTTCAGCTGATAAAAATATCCATAGACACAGTGAAGTCAGTGGCATGCCTGGCTCTCTCAGACAAAACTCCCATGTGATCACATATAGGCAGCCTCAGTAAGGCTGAGGCCGTGCAGCAAGCAGTAGGTAATGAGTCTTTGTGCAGAGTGAAGCTCTTGTCGCTGAACAATAAAGCATATGGTACCAGCAATAAAACACAGGGCTGGGAAATTTAAGAAGATTCCGCTGAACCAGGAAGACACAGTGCCTTCGGTGATGCTGACATACATTATAAAATGATAATCCATTTATTCTGGATTCTAATGAATAAAGAGTGCAAGGAGTAGGACTACAGCTATTTGAACAGGTCGGTGATTTTATAAATTAATCCAACACTTCCTTACGTTTGATTGGATTTAAATTACATTGGGCTGATGTGTGTTTTGCCTTAAATAAAAACTTTGCAAGATATTTGTAGTGTGTAATAGGAAGGATGCACTTAAATTGACCCAAAGTGATTAAATTGTTGGTGTAGTCAGATATGATAGAGAAACATTTATATCATTATATTAAAACAGAAAGTTATTTATTCTATTTAAAAACTCATGAGTAAAAAACAAACAAACATCTAATTAGTTCATCATCTATATAAGCAGAAATAATAGAAAGCAGAATACTACTAAATATATAGCTCAAATAAAAAGCTTCAAAATTAATATTTCCAGCATTAGAAAATTCTTTATTGCAGTAATTTATATGTCTTAGAAATTGGATGGTATTTAATTCAGATTTTATTGATATATTTCTTAATATTGCAAAAGGAAGGTTTGGAATATTTAATATTTTAAATTAAAAAAATGATAAAATAGGAAAATTTTGAAATGTTTGATAATGCACCTAAAAGAACAATCAATGTATTTTATATTTAACAATAGAAATACATATCAATGTAAATTTGCTGTGTGCTTTTCATTTTTCATGTTATATTTCTTTTGATAAATTGAAAAAAAAATCATAGAACCTTTTATTTCATAGACATTATTCCATCACACATTAAGAAAAGCAAATTAGCTTAACTTTAAAAAGCATGGATTAATTATGTGATGATTCATACTGCCATTCATTCATCATTTAGAAGAATATGTGCTTTCATGTAGATTTATAAAAGTACATACACACATGACCTTCTTTATGAAGAAAATAACCACTTCTTGGGTTTATGAGCAACAGAGAAGTTTATGTTTGAAATAGATCGCTGTGTGTAGGAAGACAAGGGAAGAAATAACTCTAGGAAATAATAGCACAATACTGAACATCTTTGCCAAAAGAGAGACAACCAGTACTGCTTTATGAATCTTTAGATTTAAGTATATATTTTAACTTTGCTTTACATGTTTCTTGCTGTATTGTTTAAAGGCATCTTGGGACCTAAATTCTTTGCAATTAATTTCTTGGACACCATTTAGGATGATAATCTCTAAAGCACTAGGGCACATTTAACATTTTATAGAATTACTAAAATGACCTCATGTATTTGTATAGTGACTAATATACATTTATGCCTATATGATGCTCTTTAAACCATAATAATAACAGAAATACCTTATGGCCTGCTTATATGTGCAAAATGTATTCAATGGGGAGGGGGAAGCTATGTTTCCAAAAATTAAAATTAAAAAAAAGAAAGAGAGAAGTTAATGAAAATTTTAAATTGGTCTTCCACATGTATTTAAATGAAGTATTTGACTATTTGGGTTTCCTTGGTTACCACAGTCGCTGCCGGCAGTTTCTTTTGGTGATGGAGGGGGGGTAGCAGTGAGAATAAGACTCTAAAACAAAGAGTTAAAAACGTTTAGCCATTAACGGACGTGGGGGAATGTGATTCTGACAACCCAGTAAAACCCGTGCCTACACCCCATCGCGTGTTCCGGCTCTCCCGTGATTCAGGTATTCTGGCAGAACTGCAGTTCCACAATTCCTTACCCAGCATTCCATTTCGGCTGCTGGAGGATTGCCCGAGCCTTATGCAAATGAGACCAGCTCCGAGGCTTTGACTGCAGAAGCGAGAGGAGGGGGGCAGAAGGGAGTTCAAAGGTCACAGGGCTGGTGGAAAGCTGGATCTGTTGCCTGGAAAAAAAAAAAAAAATTACTGGGCTCCTCTGCAGCAGTGTTTTGCAGCAGTTAAATGAAGTGTGCTTTATTTCTCAGAGTGAAGATTTTACAGCGTGTGCGCCGTAGTCCTTTAAAGTACACGCAGGTATGGTGACAGATTTCATGATGAGCCTGCTTTTATTTTTAAAGAAGACACTGATGATGTAGCTTGACTATTTTAATTCGTTGTGGACATTGGCAGAGTGTTCCCCTCTTTCAGGCTTCCCTTAACTAGGTTATTCTTTAAATCTTATTAAGGTTTTCTCTATTTGAAACGGGTGTTTTCTTCCAATGGAGTAATTCATTTTATGTAAGGAAGAAAAATGGGATTGGAGTGCTAAATAATAAGATTTTTGGAAAGTTTTTCATTGCAAGAGGATAAGTGAGTTGAAACATCTAGATAAATATCAAGACTTTAGACTTTTAGAGGATTTTCACATTATTAACAAATGTATTTTAAATAAGAACTGAGTTTCTAGACTAAGATTCTTGTGAGATATCTGGAATTAAATAATGGAGTCCTTTTGTTCATGTCATACACTAAATTGTAAGGACAGTTTTTAAAAAGTTGCATTTTCATTTCATTTTAAGAGAGGGTTTTGGTTTTGAGAATTTTCACTTTATATTTTATAGCTAAACATCTTATCAGAAAAATCCTTTCTTATTTTGAGATTATGTCCCTTAAATGCTTCTTCGAATTTCCTAGTTGTTATTAATTTTCTTTGGGATTTTTAAACAATGCTATTTTGAACTCAACATATCCAACTTCCTATGACTTTTCCCTTCAGTTATGTCTGGTTGAATGCTCCTGATAAATGTCAGAGGATAAAAGTCTTCTTTTTCCAGGCACTAAATATCACACTTCTATAAAATGTGTGATTACATCATAGTAAAGTCTGACCTGCTCCAAACAAATCTGTCCTCAGTTTTATTGTTCAAAAGCCTGTGTTGTTTTTATTTCCAAAGCATATATTTTAATAAACTTAATTGAAGCAGCAGATTATACTGTGTTTAACCATTCCATTAAAATTTTTAAATATATCATTTCAGCAGTCTCAGTGTTGATGGAAGGAAACGTTATTTTCATTTGCATTAAGTGCATCTGTCTATATTACAGGTTGTGTGTGTATGAAGATATGTTGGCAAAATGAAGAGGCAAAATAGCATTTAGCCATGAAATTGCTGCTTTATGCTTTTATATTTGCATAAGATATATAAAAATGAATTTTATGAAGCTTACACACAAAGAGCTGGTACATATTCAGAGAAACTTAATTACTTTCTTTGCATTGAGAACCAAAAAATAATGATTAAGACTTGGTAGTTTGGCAACAGGATCTTTTATTTGAAAATGTGGGGAGTGGTGGGGACAGGGCACCAGACAGGAGAATGGATATCTGAAACAGTAAAGGACAGTTATTTCAAATATTTATACAATTCACTTTGTAGTAGTCATTCAGGGCCAGATTCTCATCCCTTATCTCCCTAGGGGGGCATTATGACATTTATCCAGGATCCTGAGATTAATTTAGGAAAGGAATTCATGTATTGTGTGAAGGTTTAAAAAACTGTCCTTTTTTTAAGTTCTTTCTATTTTGAAACTTTCAGTAATGACTATCTAATGTGGGTATATTTTAAATAAAATGCTTCCTTCTTATGTTGAATGGAATATGCTTTCCCCTGATCCAAACAAAATATTTGTAGACTTTTGCTTTTCAAGAATCCAAACAAAATCTTTCTTACTGTTCAATTATATTTGATCCAACTATTTCGAATAACTCAAGCCGCGCCCTTAGTTTGTATTTACTAACCTCTATGTGTGTGTTCTAGGGAGAGCACAGGGAGGAGGGAAGAGTGAGTTTAAAATTCATTTTGGCAGCCCAATACTATTCTCTTTGTAAATGCGACTGCTACCAGTTAGCACATTCTGAATATAGAAATAAACACATAGTGCGGGCACAGAAATCAGGCCCGTGAAGATTCTTTGAGAAAATGTGATAATAGACAAATGTGAAATGAAGAGAATTGTTGTGGTTCTGGGAGCCACACGAGAGCTATATATGTCCTACAGCAAATTTATGGCTTTGAATATCCTGGATAATTTATGGCTCTATGCAAATTCAGTCAAAACTTTGAAGTCTTTTTGCATTGACTTGAGCCATACTACTCCCATATAAATCTCAGCACCCATACACAGTAAGTTCATGGTCAGAATAACTAAATATATACAGAAGGATGTATTTATGTAAATACAATTCAAATCAAATTTGAGAAGTAAAAGAGTAAATAGAGTAGTCTAAAAACAAATCTTTAAGGGATATGCAGTTAGTATACTTGTAGAAATAGTGTTATATCAGACTTCAAAGGAATCTTTAAGGATTTTTAAAAATTGACTTATCTACTCTCTGATTACTAGTCTGTCTTTTGCCATCACTTGAAGCTAGAGACCATATTGTAGCCTTGAAAAAGATTACAGGGCAAACATGTTATACTCAATCCAGCAGCATGGAATATTGTCTAAAATTTACAAATAACTGTTACCATCTCAAAACCTCACATGTAGGTTTTAAGTTTTCTAATATCACTATACATGTTCTTCTTCTGAACTGCTGACGCCTATGAAACAGAAAAAAAAAATACTTGTATCATATGGAAGAAAAATGCTCAAAATAAATAAATATTTAAAATAATCACATTTCTTTATTTTAAACAGGCATCCCTTAAGAAAGTAAGTTCTTAGTGGTAAGCAAATGATGAATATTCTAAATCCATCTGTCTACTTCATTTTAGAGATAATTCTTCCCATATACTTTTTCTAAAATTTCATCCCCTTGCTTTCCAGTATTTCACAATTTCATCATTTTTACCAAAATCGTTGTGGTGAGCAAAAAAGGTTTTGATGAAAAACATGATGTCTAAGTACTACATAATCTGAAATGAAATACTGAAAACATCACATTGCTCATCATGTAAGAAATATGTGTACTTCCACATAAATATAGATGGGCAGAGAGCCAGACATTTTAATTGTTCAAGACATCTCAAAACAAAATGATTGGATCCTTTCATCACCTTTCCCAGAATTTAAGTAGAACTATCAATTTTATTAAGTCTGAATATAATAAAATTATAAAATGATTTTAAGGATCTTACTTTTATTCCATATTATTAGAGCTATAGTAATGCTGTAGTAATACTTTTGTGGAAAGCTGGAAA